TTCCAAAGTAAAGTGTTATTAAAATACTGCCTTTCTATTGTACAGAAAAAATATTTCAAACACTAATTCAATAAGAACTTTTTCCATCAATGTATCCTGATTTAAGATATTTAAGAGGTCAGTACAATTCAAATTTTATTTAAAAATATAATTGCCATAAAAATATTAAAAGCAAATGACCGATCACTTCATCTTAATAAAAATCTTAGTAAAACTAGTTATTAAAATAGGATTCCTTTAATATTATCTTTATAAAACTCGATCGCCACCTTTTTAATTTACAAATCATAATTTTCAATTTCTTAATTTAAGAGCTAAGGCAAAGAAAATGAAAAAACAAAGACAGTAAAATATGGTGTACTATGTAACACACATTTATTTGCCAATATCTTTGACTATTAATTTCATTAGACCTTTGGAAAGTAATAAACCAAACAATAATGCAGTTGAAACATTGAAGTAATTCAAGCATGTGGCAAAAAAAGATCTATACCAAGCCCCCAGGCAGGAGATTAACAACTCGATGACAGCAATAAATATTTTGATAAGGGAGTACACTACAGCCAATAAAGTTTGAAACTGACAAAAAAATATTCCAGCCCAGCTGGTAAACATATCTTTGGGCCGAGCTGGGGGGCTACAGCCCTGAAGCCCGGGCCTGAATCCGCCACTGCCGGAACCTATAAGAAAGGGAAAATACATGTCAGGTATACCATCTATGTTTTCATTTCTCAATTTCTTAATTAATACAATTCTTGGTTGCAATTTTATTTCGTGGTTATTCAAAGATACTCATATTACCCTAAATTCAAAATATTCTATTTGTTCTTTAATTATCAATATAATAAAAAATAATAAAAAGAGCCGGACAAGAATACATATACATGTATATGCAACACTGGAGACACGTTCTGTTCACTGATGAGTCCAAGTTCTGCCTAGACTTCACAGTCAGGCGTGCTAGAGTCTGGAGAAGAAAAGGTGAACGGTTTCAGGCTTCAAATATTGCTGAGCATGACTACTACGGAGGTGAATCTTTCTAGAATTAACGTCTCTGTGTGTTAAATCCATCTAAAACCAATGCTGTAGCTCAAGTCAACAACATCTCGGCTGCTAAATAAGAAACCGTAAACAAATATGTTTCATCACCAAGGGGATGTTTAGCACAATTATGGTCATCAGTTTATAATACCGACTAAGATGATTTCAATTTTAACCTATTATTTTGCACATCACGGCAAAACCTTTGCTATCTGATAGATAGAAAGTTAGTCCCCAGATCACTTACATAACGTAAATATTGACATAATACAAGTTATTAAACATGAATTAAGATATTGCGATATTTAACGTTAGGGTTTTGACATTTAACGGTAAGGGAAAATGGTGCGACATTTAACGTCACCATTGCGACATGTAACGGCAAATATTTTGAGAAATTTAGCGGCAGTTGCAACAATTAGCGGTAATAGCGCGACATTAAGCGTCGTTGAAACATACAACGTCGCCAAAATGTTTTTGTGTATTGGAATTTTATTTGGGACGTGCGGAAAAAAAACTGTCTTGACAATTATATTTTGTCTTTTTTATAAACTTAAAAAATACGGATATATATAAATGAGAAGAAAACCGACCAGAAAAGTCAATTGTCAAATCTCAAAATATGCACATGAGCAGTTTGTACCTTCAATACCTTCGTCAATATAGGAGCTAGGAAGCTAAAACCTAAAACCGAGTGTGTCATTTACATTGCCTTAAGAAATGGGGATATTTAAAAAATTGAAAATAACATACAAACCCACTTTTATCCTGTCACTTGTATCAATTTCGGCCCGATAACAAGGTGCCGTATATTTTTACTGATATACGGCACTTGATCACGTGGTATGCATTTTGCCGGACTACTTTTCAAGAAAAAACATAGATCTAATTATTATCATAATGTTGGACTTTATGTTTGGTTGTTAAATTTGTTTTCGCCTCAGAGTTTCCAATAGAAACGTTCTTTACAGGCCGTTCCAGTGGTATGGAAAAAAAACGTTAAATCTTCTGTGTGTAGAATAACGAATTTTGGAAACGTTGATGCCAATAACGTTGCGACATTGAAATAGCGTACTTGATTTGATTGTTTTGCACGTGCTGTTTGGCGCTACATTGTGACGTCACGTAAACAATACTTTAAACGTCTGTACAGCGTTGACGACTGAATAAAAGATAATGGTGTTCGAATTAATTTTCTTAGTCAGACCATTTTCTTTCATTCTAGATAGTTTTCACAACAAAAATCGACAAAAAATTGTTTTTATTTATCACATTTTTCAAACAAAATGGCGCCCTCAATGTGAAAATACACAGGGAGATAATAAGAACGGCGAGTGCATTGTTGTAGAATAATGCACGCTTCGGGCCTTCTTTGTTTATATAGAAACATTTCCGATAGTGTGATTAAATGTAGTTTGCCTAATAAAATTCTTTAAAAAAAACGGTGACAGGATAAATAGAATAATAGATTGGTGCCGTGGATGGAGAAAGTTCATCTGGCGAGGCGGAGGAATTTATTGGGTGAGCCACTTTTCTGTAGAAAATACGGGAGTTATAAATTTTCATGACTCGAATGCCATTTTGTCCAGTTTGCAACCGTTTCGCTTGAACCAAGTAGGCAACAACCCTTGTATGTCATACATATAAAATTACATAAACTTGAAATATGATTAGAGCTATATCGGCCTCACCTTTGCTAACATTGAAATACGACCCTGGAATCCGAGCGTACTAAATCCCGGAATATTTTCCAATCACGGCTGTGACGGATAAATAACTTATGTGGTTTATATTTAATGTGGGGCATACATAAGACCTCGCAATTCTAGTATGTTTAAAATGACGTAGGGGGTGCAGGCTATCCTTCTAAAATAGTGCCCGTAAGCCCGTAAATCAACGATGACATATTTATTGTCTTGTTCACTGATTGGGACCAGAGAACTCGCATATATAGAGTTTGTTCTCTCCCTTTAATTATCTCCCTTTATATATACTTTATCTGTCTAAATTCATTGTATCCTACGGATCTACTTGATCTTACGGGATCCAGTTGACTTTCGGAAATAGATATATAGTTATCTGGTCCCAATCAGTGAAGAAGACAATAAAAATGTCATCGTTGATTTGTGAGACATGATGGCAGAGAACTAACTCTATATATGCGAATGTTGAGCTTGTTTCAATGTGTAGTGCAGTTTGTGACTGTATATAAAGCTGTTCTGAAACCATCATTTTTTGTGATGGTGGATGAGCAGTGGCTATGCTTTCAGGCGCTGTGCCGTGATTGGACTGGCATATTGATGAAACCTGATAAATGTTCCTTGTGCAGTGTTGAAATAGATAAAATAATAATGTTTAAGAAATAACAAACTCTATGTAAATTCGGTAGCGCTTTAAATGCTTTCTTCGCATATCTTCAGCCGAAACATTAAAGTTATATATGTAACCTTTTGTCCAACTTTAAAAGAGTTGAATACTAAGCATGCAGTATGTCTTAAGATAGTAGGATCATAACCTCTTTGAATAAAACGTTTTAAATTAATAATTTTAGTAAAAACATCAAAAAATTACCATGACCCAAAATCTTTCACATCGCCATAAAAACCAGGCTGGATAATCTCTTGTCGCAGAAGAGTTTTTAAATCTCGACGATTGAATTTTGAAATAAATCAAAATTACGATTGTGTATTTTTTTTAAATATTTCCGTAATTTATGATAGCGGTATCCCTGTTTTAGAAGCTTGCTGTTAAAGAAAATATTCCGCTCGTTGAAATCCTTTACTTTGCTACAAGCTCTAGCGAATTTAATTAACTGAGAAACATATACCCCGTAAGATGTTGCATGGGGTCCGTCTCCAGCTATATGTGGATAATTAACTATACAAAAGCAAAAGTCATCTCTTTTATCATAGGTTTTCGTGTGAATAGAATTGTTGTTGATATTAATATGAAGATCCAAAAATGATGTACTAAAATTTCAAGAGTTCGTTTTATTAAGTTGTAGTTCATAGGGATAAATGTCAGACACCATTTGATCAAAATAAGGATTATCTAAATTATATTATCAATTATATTATCTATATTATATCATCAATGTACCTGGAAGTATTATTAAATGTGACTATAACATCTTGTTGTTTACCTTCAGAGAGACTCAACATAAACTCTCTTTTATAGCAGTACAAAAACAAATCGGCGACCAGGGGTGCACAATAAGTACCCATAGTAATTACTATAATCTGTTTAAATAGGATATTACCAAACCTGACATAAATGTTGTCTAAAAGAAAAGAGAGTGCTCTACAAACTTCGTCACAGGTTCACATAGTATAATGTTTAACAATACCGTTAGTTAAAAAAGCTTTGTTAGAATTACATGCTAGAAAGGTAACCTTTTCCCGTGCAAAAGTTTTCTGAATTAGCGAAAATAGTTTATCATTAATAAATTTATGTGGTAAAGTTGTATAAAGTGTAGAAACATCTTATGTACTGACTGTTGAAGCTTGATAATTCTTAATTTAGAATTTATCCCTGATTTCACCAGATTTTTTAATCGACCAAAAGAGATGTTTGCCTGTGTTTTCATAGACTTTATCACAATATCTAATTGCATGTGTTTTAATGGCAGTCAAACAAGACGTCAATAAAATAGAAAGTTTACTTGTAGTGCAAGATGTAGAATTAGCAATGAATCTAGCTTTGTAAGGTTTTTTTATGTAATCTAGGAATCCAATACATAATAGGAAGTTTGAGTTCTTTTTCATTAATTTGGACTTTAAGATTGGAAATATTAGTGATATGATTGTTTACAATGTCTTTTTTAACGTTTTACTACTTTACTTAAACCAATTTTACCATCTGTAGGTGAGTGGCTTTAATTAACACTTTAACTAATTCTTTTAATTGATTTCTCATTTGTTCTTTGAAGTTAGTTTGTTAAAACATTGATATTGTTTTACCTGTATGGGTTCTTCAGCTCCTCTGTCAAATAGTTCAAAGTATTCCTGAAATGAAACTTTTGTATAAGTAATGATTTGAACATGCAATACCGATTACTAAACAATATTTAAATCTTGGTTATGCTGTGTTGTGTTGCGAATAGTACATATAGAAAGAAATGTTTCCCAGATTATTATAGTAGATTATTTGGCAATATTTGTATTGTTCTATGTGTTTAATGTGTTATGCTGAATCAGAAATTCTCTTCATGTTATTAGAAATGTTATCTTATATATTTCTCTAATATATGTAATTTTTATAATTTGCTTATTATTGCAGAAAATAAATGTAAGTAGAGCTATGAATAAAGGTGATTAATACCCCGAGAGCATCTTTGACTTTTTGAAAAATAAGTGGTCTAATAAAATTTGAACTCAACCTATGATTAATGAACAAAACCTCATTTCAATAAATTGCAATCCTAACCAGGATCTTCATATAAACTTGCTGTAATATCTCATTCCTTACTATAGTTATTGTCCTAAAACCATTTTATATTTCAGTTATAGTGACACTTGACCTCCGGGAGTACAAATGCCATCCCAACCAGGGTTTCCACATAAGGCTGCTAAATACCAAGTTTGATTACAAAATCCATTTTTAAACGCCCGTATTAATTCCCACTATATATAGCTATAGTTATATATAACTTCATAGAAATGTGATTTCTAGGTCAACTTCGAAAACGGGTCACCTGGGGTTAACACTCTAGTGGTCACATTTTAGACTCAATCATCATCAAACTTTGTCAGGATGCTTGTCTAGGAAATTACTCGGATAAGTTTGACAAGGGTCATCTCGGATGAAAAACTAGGTCACGGGAGCTAAAAATAGAAAAATCTTGTTATAAACTTTAGTGGCTACTGTTTAGATCCAAATATACTTAAAAATGGTGTGAAAGTTTGTTTTGATGATTTCTAGGTTAAGTTCGAATATGGGTCACCTGGGGTCAAAAACAAGGTCACACCGCCAAAATATGAAAAAGCCTAGTTAACACTAAAGTGGTCACATTTTTAACTCAATCATTACAAACCTTGTTAGGATGCTTGTCGAGGTAATTGCTAGGATGAGTTCGGACGGATGAAAAACTAGGTCACAGGAGCTTAAAGTAGAAAAATCTATAAATCATCATCAAACTTTGTCAGAATGGTTGTCTAGGTCATTGCTCGGATGAGTTTGAACATGGGTCATCTCGGATGAAAAACTAGATCACAGGAGTAAAAATTGAAAAATCTTGTTAACACTCTAGTGGCTACTGTTAAGATCAAAATATCCTGGAAATTGGTCTGAAAGTTTGTTTTGGTGCTTTCTTGGACAAGTTTGTATATGGGTCACCTGGGGTCAAAAACTAGGTTACATTGCCTTAATTTGAAAAAAAAACCTTGTTAACACTCTAGTGGTCACATTTTTGACTCAATCATCATCAAACTTTGTCAGGATACGTGTCGAGGTAATTGCTCGGATGAGTTCGAACGGATGAAAAACTAGGTCACAAGAGCTAAAAAAAGAAAACTCTTGTTAACACTCTAGTCCCTACTGATTGGATCCAAATATCCTGGAAATAAGTCTGATAGTTTGTTTTGGTGATTTCTAGGTCAAGTTCGAATATGGGTCACCTGGGGTCAAAAACTATCTCACACAGTCCAAAAAATCTTGTGGTCACATTTTTGACTCATTTGTCATCAAACTTTGTCAGGATGCGTGTCTAGGTAATTGCTCGGATGAGTTTGAATATGGGTTTATCTCGGATAAAAAAACTAGGTCACAGGAGCTAAAAATAGAAAAATCTTATTAACACTTTAGTGACTACTGTTTTGATCCAAATATTCTGGAAATTGATCTGAAAATTTGTTTTGCTGATTTCTAGCTCAAGTTCGAATATGGGCACCTGGGGTTAAAAACTAGGTCACACCGCCCAAATATGTAAAAAAGATTTAATACTGTAGTGGTCACATTTTTGACTCAATCATCATCAAACTTTGTAAGGATGCTTGTCTAAGTAATTGCGTTTGAACATGGGTCATCTCGGATGAAAGTCTAAGTCACAGGAGCTCAAAATAGAAAAAATGTGTTAACATTCTAGTGGCTACTGTTTTGATCCAAATATCCTGGAAATTGGTATGAAAGTTAGTTTTGATGGTTTCTAGGTCAAGTTCAAATATGGGTCACCTGGACTCAAAAACTAGGTCAAATTGCCAAAATTTGGAAAAACCTTGTTGACACTCTTGGGTTGGGTCACATTTTTGACTCAACTGTCATGAAACTCGGTCAGGATGCTTGTCTAGGTAATTGCTCGGATGAGTTTGACGGGCTAGGTGAGCGATCTAGGGCCTTCTTGGCCCTCTTGTTATTTTTACGCAATAATTCCCAGTAGTTTTTGCAATGATCTGTATATCTGGCTCCTCCTCCTAACAAGTCATTCAATCTCGTTCGCGCATTGAACTTCGGACGTTTTTACCGTGAATATTTAAGTCGACCCTGATTTCCCAAAATTTTGTTGTAAGAAATTGATTCTATTTTGTTTGAAGGCATTTATGGTGCTTTGAGTGAAATGTTGATTTCCGAATAGTGTGACATTTTAACAACAGAAACTTTCGTCTGCAGTTTTAACGGGTTTATTGATAGGAATGTAAACACACCGGTTGGTCAGGCCAGGATTTTGAAGCAATTCAACAAAATAGTGGATGATATCCCAATAAATCAATTAACAACATCTCTTTATTTATGTCCCAATGTCAAGTAGCTTTTATATTTTTGACTCGCATGAACTTGATGATAGCGAATTTCTTCATATCTGTCTAAAATTCAGGTAACAGTCTTTATATCATTATAACATTAAATAATGTTTCACCGTATCAACATGCCATACAAATTTATTCATGATTATTCATGATTTAAATTGTATAACGCGTATTAAAAACAAGAATTGTCGGAGGACAGTAACGCTTGACTATTCGAAAAGTTGTCACAAGGGTGTTTCATTGAGTATAATAATGCTTACCTATTTGTATACATAAAATTGTCCGAAAAGGTACAAACCCTTCAGTAGTTATGGAGATGCCAGCTTACAAGCAAAAATTTACCTAGAATTTCTAAGTCGAAAAAGGGGCATAATTATGCAAAAAAGCAAATCAGAGTTATGGGACTTGTGCCAATCATCTTAGATAATCACAGAGAACAAGTGTGTGAAGTTTCAATCCATTCCTTTCAGTAGTTATGGAGATACCAGCTTACACGCAAAAACTTAACCAAGAATTTCCAAGTCGAAAACGGGGCATAATTATGTAAAAAAGCATCAGTGTTATGGGACTTGTGCCAATCATCTTAGATAATCACAGAGAACAAGTGTGTGAAGTTTCAATCCATTCCCTTCAGTAGTTATGGCGATACCAGCTTACATGCAAAAACTTAACAAAGAATTTCTAAGTCGAAAAGGGGGCATAATTATGTAAAAAAGCAAATCAGAGTTATGGGACTTGTGCCAATCATCTTAGATAATCACAGAGAACAAGTGTGTAAAGTTTCAATCCATTCCCTTCAGTAGTTATGGAGAAACAAGCTTACACCCAAAAAACCTAACCAAGAATTTAAAGTCGAAAAAGGGGCATATTTATGTAAAAAAGCAATCATAGTTATGGGACTTGTGCCAATCATCTAAGATAATCATAGTGAACAAGTGTGTGAAGTTTTAATCCATTCCCTTCAGTAGTTATGGAGATACCAGCTTACACTCAAAAACTTTACCAAGAATTTAAAGTCGAAAAAGGGGCATAATTATGTAAAAAAGCAAATCAGAGTTATGGGACTTGTGCCAATCATCTTAGATAATCACAGAGAACAAATGTGTGAAGTTTCAATCCATTCCCTTCAGTAGTTATGGAGATACCAGCTTACACGCAAAAACTTAACCACAGGGACGCCGACGCCGACAAAAGGGTGACTGCATTAGCTCGATTATTCTGCGAATAGTCGAGCTAATAAATCCTGAAATTAGTCTATTTGGATTTCATCCCAAATTTTTAACAGCCTGAAGTTGGCAGCCTAGCAGCCTGGCAGTCTAACAGCCTCAAGAAATTTAACAATAGTATAAACATGAAAACCATCGGAAATGCATCACTAGCACTTCCTAAGATAATTCCACGCTTTTTTAAATATCGATATATTATTTCTAAAGATGTTGAACTTTATCATTACATAATTTTTTTTTCATTCTGACGTTTTGAAATGTGTGAAGTTAGCAGCCTAGCAGCCTGGCAGCCTAGCAGTCTAAAGAAGACTAAGGATAATACAAACATGAAAATCGTCGGAACTGAATCGGTAGCACATATTTAAACCATTCCATGTCTTATTTTAATATTTTTTAAAATATTGAATTTTATTTTTTTCATTGTGACGCTTCGAAATTTGTGAAGTAAGCAGCCTAACAGCCCTGAAGCCTATCAGCCTTAAGAAAACTAAGGATTGTACAAACCTGAAAACCGTCGGAAATGAATCGGTATCACATATTTAGACCATTCCACGTCTTATTTCAATATCGTGATATTTATTTTTTAAAATATTGAACTTTATTTTTTCATTCTGACGCTTCGAAATTTGTGGAGTTAGCAGCCTTCAGCCTAGCAGCCTATTCGCTAAAGAAAATCTGAAGTAATGCCTTATTCGTTTTCGTCCATATGGAAATCATACTTTGATGGCCAAATATCTTTTGAGCTCTCTGCGCACTTATTTGTTTTAATCAACATTAAGAATAAATTAGGGGTAAAAATCAATAGAAATGGAGATTGTTATGGATAAATATATATTAGTTTGTAAAATTAATACTTCTAAGTACATCTGTATTACAATACGGAAAGACACAGAAACTTTATTACACTTTATTATCACTTTTTAACATCAAAATGTCACCTTTATATAAATATGCACCATATACATGTATATGGTATATGGGGTATGATGGGGATTTGATATAGCACTGGATTGGTGCGAATTTTTCAGTCGTCATCAA